GGTCTGACAAAGTGGAGGATAAGCATCTGGGCAGCAGGAAAAGCACGTACAAGGCAAAGAGGCATTTTATTTACTAAGCACATAAAACTTACCGTCTCCTAGGCAATGTGGCAAAAGTTTTACAAATATTAACTCATTTTCTCCTCACAGCCTCCCTGGGAGGTAAGTACTATTAATGTCATCCCCACATTGCAGATAAAAGAAATTGGCGCAAAGATATTAAGTAACTTGGCCAAAGTCACGGAGTAATGGTCATAGCTGGGCTTTGCATCCGCAAACCTAGATTTAGAATCCTGCTTGAAGTCTGATGACAAGCTGCCTTCCGGGAACATATCTGGTAGTATTCACAGGTATATTTGAAGAGCCAGGTGTCTGTAACCAAAAGTGAATGGAGAAGAGAAGAAGCAGAAGACCATGGAAATGTAGGCTGGGGTCAGTTCATTTCAGTCTGAAAAGTCCAGTCATATAACGTGAAGATGTATTGGAAGGCTTCTGAATGGTATCTGTAGTTTGCATGGACTAATTTTCATTTATCATCAAATACTAATTATATCCTCAGTGGAACTCATCTGAAAGTAACTTTTCCATCACTCTTATAAAGGACTTAGTCCCAGGTGCACAAATTGATGAGATAATGTATTGTGCTCCCCTGGTAGCTTAAGGTGACATTGCTCACAAAAAGAGCTGCTCCCTTTTGGAGCGGGCATTTGGAGGCTTCCCTTGGTACCCACTTGGGGAGATGCAAATAGAAGAGGAAGGCAGCCTCCCCATGAGCAGTGACACCACGGCTTTTGCTTTTCTCTCTGGCTTTAACTCCGCTCTCTTACAAAATCTCCTTTGCTTGTCTAAAACCCTGAGGAGGGCATGACTGGTAATTGGGCTATCAAATGCCATTAAACCACAAAGCAGGCTACGAAGGTTCTTAAAGTTTATACCAACTACGAAATACACCTCGAGCAGCAGCTGTGTTGGGGACAGGAGCCTCCTGTCGCATGTCTTCCCAAATCCAGGCGTTTGTTGCTGCTCGTCTTGGCTGGCCTGTGTCACTTCCTCTGGGAGCCCAGCCTGCAAATAGAAGACTCTCCCCAAGTCTTTTTCTCTCCTCTTCATTTCCTGCCAAAGCATGTCTCCAGAATCCTGAAGAGATGACTGAGCCATTGCGGGGGTTGCCTTGAGGGACTCGGGAGCTCATCCCTCACAGGGGCCAGCAAAGCAGACTAAGCTCCCGGTGTTGGTCTGCCCGGCTGCCATGACAAGACACCACAGGCTGCCTGGCTCAAACATGAGGACTTTATTTCCTCACAGTTCTGGAAGCTGGCAGTCCTAGATCAGAATGCCAACAGGGTCAGGTTCTGGTGAGAGCATTCTTCCGGCTTATAGACGGTGTCCTCACAGGGCCTTCCTTCAGTGCATGCACAGGGAGAGAGATGGTCCCCCTCTTATAAAGCCACCAATCCTATTGGATTAGGACTCCACCCTTATAACCTCCTTTAACCTAAATTACCTCCTAAAGCCCCATCTCCAGATACAATTACATAGGGAATTAGGGCTTCAATGTATGAATTCAAGGGGGATGCAATTCAGATCATAGCACTCCCCCTCCTCCAGATTCAGTGCTGCATCCATTTGATGGAGTGGGCCCCGGCATCCGTGCCTCTCCCCGTGTGAAAGCCACCCTCCCCCAACCCAGGCACTTGAGATTGTAAACTTGAGACCCATGCGTTAGATTTCAGCTTTCACAAATACTTTGTTCAGTGCACAGTTTTTAAACGAATTTAAATTAGCTGTCAACAGTTAAAACTTGGAATATAGCAAATCATCATTTGCATTCCCAGCTTTTCTTGAAGGAGATCTGCAGTGGACTGTGTTTTGGTCTTTGTATTGCCATTGATAGCTCCAAGTCAAGCTTGTGTCCAATGGCTACAACATCAGGGCAGGACCTTATGGAATCTATGGGGGTTGGAGCCGAATTGCTTCTGGACTCATTTTATTTCTTCCACCCCTAATTAACTTTTCCTCCCCCTTTTCATCAAATTATTTATCTTTTGTTGCACCTTGGATTTATAATCCACTTCAAATTTAGGGGAAGATAAAACTAGGTATATGTATGTGTGTGTGTGTGTATGTATACACATATATAAATATACACCCTCAATATCTGCTTGCTGCAAGAATGAATGAAAATGTGCTTGTATGTATATGTGTATTCTCAAAATGTCCAAAGAGGACTCCTTATTGAATTCAGAAGTAAATATAGCATTTGAAAGGCAACTTACTGTTTAACAAAATCTTGAAAAGAACTAATACATAATAAAGGGAAAACGTCTCATTCATAAATTAATGAATCTGTATCGTAGTTTACAAGGCATGTACCCAGATACTATCTTATATATGGTTCATATCTGGGAGCCATCAGGGAGAGGAGGGCTTGA